GAGTGTCAGGGCTGGGAGGCTCCTTAGAACACAGGATGTCAGGGCTGCAAGGACCCTGAGAACACAGGATGTCAGGGTTGTAAGGACCCTGGGAACAAGGAGTGTCAGAGCTGGGAGGCTCCTTAGAGCACAGGATGTCAGGGCTGGGAGAACTCTTAGGATCATCTAGTCCAAACTTGTCATTTTTCAGATGGGGAAACTGAGACCTGAAGAGGGGAATCAACTGGGCCTCAACAGAGAATGAGAACCCTGCAAGCCTTGGGACTCTTAGATGCAAACTTGGGAAGTCCCAGAGCCCATAGGGACCATCAAAGACCTGGACACAGGCAGCCTTGGAGAAGCGAAGATAGATCTGGATGGGGGTACCATGTATGCATGATGCTCAGAGCTGAATTTAGGATGCTTTTGATTTTCCCAAAGCTATTTCCCACTCAACACCAGATGCTACAGGAAGCCTTCCCAGATTGCTGCCAGAAGGTGCTGTCTTATTCCAGTGGTCCTAAATTGTTTTGGCCAAACACAGAACAGGGATCAGGGAATAGTTCTTGGGTGCAATGAATGAATGAAACCTCCAAACAGCTTTTTTTGGGGGGGTGGGGGGTGGGGAGAGACACAGGGAGGGGAGTGGTAACAGGGCCACCAGGAACTGTTTAAGAGTGGCAGTGTGGTTCAGCCGAAAGAACAACGGGTGTGGAGTTAGACCCTACCTTTGAAACTTATTTCCTAATTGATTTTCGCTGCCCTGGGCCTCAGTTTCCTCATCTGTAAATGAGAAAAGAGTTCCAGAGCTATGATCTTACGAATTTGCTTTCCGTTTTAAAGATGAGGAAACTTATGACCAAAGAGAAGAGAAAGTCCTGGCCCAAGGTCACAGAGTGAGTAGTTGGCACGGCACGGCCCAGCCTGGAATTCAGGCCTCCTGGCTCTCTGGTAAGCTTCCTCACCCTCCCTCTTCCCAGAGCACACAGAGAGAAGCTGAGCATTGCTCTCTGAGTAGTGAGCTGCTCACCCTGGGCCTGCAGCCCAGGGGACTCTCATCTATCTCTTGACAGCCGTTGTTGGAGAAGCTGCCAAGCCCTGGGGTATTGGACCAGGCCCCAAGAGGAAGCTCGGGTGTGGTTTTGGCTAACCCCAGGATCCTCCCTTCCTCCCTTCTGCCCTTCTCCTAGGTGGTGCCTACATGGCGGTGGCCACCAGATAAGGACGTATAAGACTAAAGGATGTATAAGACTTGATTTTAGGCGAAAACGGACAGACCATATGAGGACACACTGGCCTGTTCTGCCACCTGTCAACCAGACAGAACTGGCCTCTAACCTGTGGGTGCCCAGAGCCGAACAGAGCAGGCTAGAGACGGGAGAGTCAGGAATGAAACAGAAGGTTAATTTCGAAGGGAGGGAAATGTAAGCAAAGAGGGGATCTAGACACAGATGCCAAGGCCTCACCCATAGTGGGGGGACCCGAGGCAGTGTGGGGAGATCTCAAGATTTATACCGATGGCCCCACAGCGAGCTGTAGTCCTGACAATGAGGGATAACAGTAACAATGAGATAGGTTTGATTCACAGCAGGGCTTCATGACCCAAACATGGGTACTTGTCTGGTGCTTGGATCAAAGCAATACAGTAATTAGGTGAGATCATCCAGAGGGTGAGCGCAAGGGATTGTTGTTATGCCAAGCTCAGGGCACAACTTACTGCTGGGCCTTAGCTCTGGAAAACAGTGTGTCCTAATATCTTGATAATATCTCTAGCCCTCTTTAAACTCTCGTCCCCTACTGGGCCATGTTTTCAGGTCAAGGAAAGTAGGTGATCAGGGAAGGGCCAATGCTGGGAGGTAGAGGAGAGAGAGAGAAAAGACCCTCAGAGAGAAAATCTGTCAAGATCAGATTAAGCCTCATCTCAGCTAGGACTGCTGGCTTTTCTTTTGTAGTTTGGTCCCTGCCTAAAATTCCCATTAATCAGAAACAGATTTTGATAGTTGTAAAGGCCCTTAGTATCCAGAATGTCAGAGCTGGAGGGCCCTTAGTACCCAAAATGTCAGAGCTAGAAGGGCCCTTAGGACACAGAATGTCAGAGATTGGAGGGCCCTTAGAACACAGAATATTAGAACTGAGAGGGTCCTTAGAACACAGAATGTCAGAGCTGGGAGGACCCTTACAACACAAAATATCAGAGCTGGGAGGGTCCTTAGAACACAGAATATCAGAATCCAAAATGTCAGAGCTGGGAAGGCCCTTAGAACACAGAATGTCAGAGTTGGGAGGGCCCTTAACCCAG